ACTTGTTGAGACTGGTATCTGTTTGGATGCAGCCACTTCTGGGCACTTACAGTGTTGTCTCTATACATTCTAGATAAGGTGGTATCAGCATCGGCAGGGCCGGCGCTTCCATTTAGGCGACATAGGCGGTCACCTAGGGCGCCAGGATTTGGGGGGGGCGGCATTTTGCCGCCCTCGGCAGCAATTCGGCGGCGGGGGGTCCTTCCGCACTCCGGGTCTTTGGCGGCAATTCTGCGGCGGGTCCTTCACTCGCTCCGGGACCCGCCGCAGAATTGCCCCAAAGACCGGGAGCGCGGAAGGACCCCCGCCTAGGGCGCCAAAAACCCTGGCACCGCTCCTGAGCTTGGGGATTGCCTGGGTTGCTAACTGATCTGAACACCAGGGTTAAATAATTAGAGTTGTCTTAACTGCAAACTAATTTTTGGTACTAACTCAGGCCTATTGTCTTCCCCTGAGAAATGTCAGGGTGTCTCTGGAGTGGGCACTGTGTGACTTTCCGTTTCTTCTTGAGGGTCACCATCTCCTTTCACTTCCAGGGAAGACCAAGTTGAGAATGTGTTCACATTTTTTTGAGCCAACATTTGTAATGGATTGGGGGGTGGGGGGAGGATGGCGGGGGACAAGAGGGACAGGGAAGGACAGAGGCACTGGCTTCTTGCTCAGAAAAATACTGCCTGTGCTATACGGTACTATCAATATGCTCAAGAATTTTTCTTATGTTAACACCAATATATCAGCCACTTGATGTCTGTTGTGTGAATTTTGTGGCCTTTCTTTTTTTGTTGTAAAGCTGATCAGAATTTAGTAATCAAAACCATCGTTTAAAACAATGTTTCTGGGAAAGACTCCCCCTGAACTCTATTTAATACAGAATCAGACTTGAAATCCAATATTTTGTAAGAATTGAACCTCTCATCCTTTATCAATTGTTTCAGCTCAGTTCAGTGGAGGGCATGGGCAAGGAGTGTGGGTTATTTCTCGGGAGACACTCCAACCCCTTTTCTGGTTCCATATGAATTGCTTACTGGCTGCTTTGCTGACAAACCAGCCCCCCATCCAGACAATTCTTGCACGTCCTTGGGAAAAAGAGTAAGACCACTCTGCGAGGAAAATGATTTAAAAATGCCTTCAGATGCCTTTTCATTTCTTTTTATTTAACTCCATAAATATTTTCATAAGGCTCAGTGTCTTTACAACACTTTTTTTCAACACTTTTTTCTGTTTTGTTTTATACACACAACTTAGACACTTGTTTGACAGGGTCAAACAGTCCAATATAAACAAAATAATAAAACTGGCAAGTCTGGATCAGCTGGGTTACCAAAATCCATTTTTTTTTTACCCATACTGTTAAAACCCCAAAAGCACTAAAATATCAGTATTTGGCTTCAAACTTGTATTTTAAAAACCTTGATTGTTCTTTTTTATTCTCTGCTACAAGTCCGCATCATCATAGTGCCTTTAAACTCCTCTGGACTCTTTAGATCTTCTCAAGGAAAAATAAGCGTGGTGATGCCATGCAGAACTTACAAAAGCTACTAAATATACATGTTCCCTGAAATGTAGCTGCAATGAAAAGATGACAGAGCATAAAGAGAACAAAACCAGAAACCCAAAGCACCACAGTGTACTATCAATAACGTTGCAATGGATGGCTAGTGCCCATCCAAGAACTGAAACAGATTTCAAATATATTTTTCTATGTATTATTTTCTATTTACAACTGTTAGATGCACCTAGGTTGGTTCTTGTTTTATCTTTTGGAGAGGGTGGGGAGGCAAAAGTCTTGAACTTACATCCTCTGCTAGGTCAAGGGGTAATGCGCATCATTTACCTATGGAAGAGGAGGTTTTTTATATTATATATATATATATAGTTTCAGCTGGAGAAATTCTGTGTACATCTAAGTCTGTTACAACTCTCTTGTTCTACTGCCCATGGAACGGTATCTGGGTTTCTCTTGTCTGGCACTGAAATGAAAATCTATATAACATGCTAAGTCAAAAATTACCCCCGATTTGATCAGATCTAATGTGTTTTTGGAGCTTTCAAGTATACAAGACTGCCCAATCCAGCTCTCTATTCCATAATTAATAAGTGAGTAAAAGTGGGACCCATTGTTGGTTCGTCTTTCTATTAATGCATCATTTCTTGCAGCACCTTGGCAACTTATGGATGGGAAGAGCTTTCTTGAATGCCATGACTGAGGGCCAACCCCGCTTTGCTCTGGAACACAGGCCTGCATCTGCCTTACCTGCTGCTTGGCTTTGGTGCAGGTAGTTTAAAGCTAGAAAAGCTATTTTGTTTTGGTTTTCCATGTAAGCAAGAAGCTGAGAGTCCAACAAGTGGCCTTGTCAGATCAAGGGAATCTTGATTTATGATGCAAATAATGGTGTGGCCGTGTTGTTTCTTTTTTCTAGTGCTGAATATTAAGGAAGCATCTTCTCATAAAAATAATGGATGTTCCATTCTCACTCTCAGAGGCATAAAACAGTAAATGAACAGGCTTAACTAATGTGCTTGTTACTTTTCTCCCTTAAGCAATTAAAAAGGCAAAGGTACGGGTGTAATTTTCATCATATTGACAAGGAGGCTCTAATCTTTCTCTCTCTGTGTGTCTCTCTCCAGCCATTCAGAAATTGTAAGACATTTTGTTTCATCCTTTATGTTACAACTTTTGAGGAATCATCTCATTCACTTCTCTAAACACCCATCCTATTAAACAAACAAAAATAATAATTGCCACATATTCTGTATTAAAATCTGAGCTGCTAACCATAAAAAAAATGCAGAGATACAAAAGAGTATTTAAAAAATGTTTCTGGTAAAAAAAATTGGGTTGCCTCCTGACTGGACTTTATCATTTACATATGGGGGGGTGGGGGTGGTGGTGGTGGGGTGGTGAGCCTTCCTCTCTTTAAAATACTAGACTTTCTTTGCTGCTTATTTATATTTTCTCAAGTAGCAAAGAAAGTGCTGAGATAATCTTTGTGCTTTAGATGGGAAATATGGTCACTCCCTTATAACATGGCATGGTGCCTTTATCTTAGTGCTTGCTCTAGCCCTACAAGAGAATAAGCTGCATGGAAATATTGAAATCATTCACTGGTGGTCTTCACAGGTTCTTGTTTTTCAGGTGAAAAATTAAATCTGTGCTTCCCCCCACATGCATTTCTCCGTACCGGTAGCTAGCTTGATTTGCTTGGATGGCAGATAAGATTCAAAAGAAAAGAGTCAATACAAATTAGAGTTTGGATCATTTCGCCCCACGTTTTCAAAGGAAACTACAGAACAGCACCTGCACAATTTTCACCTTTTTATGTGAGCAAAATGTCCACATTTGCCCAAGGAAAAAGGCATTTGTGAGTGCAATGATCTGTTTTGTTAGCCGAATTGCAGGCTTCCATACATGCAAACTAGTGTGTTTGAGGGTTAAAATCTGAGGGTGAAATTGTAGGAGGTGTCACTGAAAATGCAGCTCTGAATACAGAGTGAGAAAAAGAGAGAGAAAGAGACACAGAGAGGTTAACTAATTACTGTGCAGCCTATTGACAATGGTGCAAGTTTGCTGAACCATTGCTACAGTTTAGACTAGTCTGATTGCTGATCTACATTTAGATATGTAGTCCTGGTCACATGGCAAGACTTCTCAGACACTGATTTCAGTGCAATCTTTTCTGAAAGGCAATTTTCAACCTCTTCCACAGGTTGGAGGCATTAAATGTTGAGTAAATGTTTTTGATTACTTAAGCAATGATCCTTAACCTAATAGGTCATCATTGTTAGCGAATGTCTTGTTTGGTAATTTGGGGCTCAAGGCAAAGCTAGGGATACTTAAATAAAACATAACAGACCAGAAAGCAAGTACAGCAATGGCTGTTACATCTAGGATCGTTGCTCCTGTAAACTGTAATCAATGGTTCATAACAATGATGCTACGTGTGTGTGTGTGTGTGTGTGTGTGTGAGAGAGAGAGGGGGGGGATGGGTCCTCTGAGTTATTTCCTGCAGAAAGAAAACTGGCCATTTTGTTTATGTTCAACTAATTTTTCTCTACCTACAATGCAGGACATGAGGCCATCAACCAATTTTAAAACATCTGTCATCTTTATGTAGGAAAAAGCTAGTATTGGACATCTCACAGGGTAATTTCTCAGCTAAAAAAAATCTCCGGAGAAAATAAAATAAAATACAAAACAAAAAAGCCCCCATTGTTCTCTTTCGACATTACTGGGAATGGCATGTGTGATTGAAACACACAGCATTGAAATGAAACACAGTTTAAAAATGCAACAAATCAATTGAACAGAAGTCATCTCTCACATAATAAAGATCTGTTCCCCCCTTTTGTTTGATTATACCCCCCTCCCTGGCCCAAGAACACCTATAAAAACAGTTAAGCAATAGAAGTACTGAGCAGCATATCACAGTGCACAACAGAGCACACCCAGACTGGAACGACTCAGAACAGAGAATGCTGGGGGGAAAATGCTGTTCATTGAAAAAAGAAGTCTGGGACAGTCAAGGTGGGGGGAGCAAAGAGGGAAGGGAGCAGAGATCTTCCCCACCTCTAAAATAGAAAAATAAAAGGCATAAATAAAATAAAACAAAATATACACCAATGTGGCCTGCAAGGAACTTCAGTGACAAACAGACAACGAGCAAGAAATCGTCCTGGAGAGACAATGACAAGTTGGACAAAAAAAAAAAAAAAAGAAAAAAAAATATTGTTAGAGAAAAAAAAAAAAAAAAAAAAAAAAAAAAAAAAACAGAAAAAATGATGTTGTCTGACCAATTAAATAAAATAAAATCGGGCACATGAGTAGAAGTCATTGGTGCTTCCTAGTATCTAGTAGTAGTTTGCTTCCCAAAAACAACAAAAAAAAGTTTTTGGTCCTTCTATATCTATATCTATATATAGATATATATATATGTGTGTGTATATATATATAATTATTTTTAATTGCAACAGTGCTTCTCCGAAAAAAGGTCCATCTATAAATATAATTTTATTTATTTATTTTTATTTTTAATTTTTTTAAATTTTTATTTTAAAATTCTCCATCTCACTCTAGGTATTATTTTTTGAATGGCGTTAACCTGCTGAAATTTTGCCAGAATGGTGACTGGCTGCGTTTGGGTTCGGTGAACTCGAAGACCTGGGACTGGGATATGCCATCTGTCACCATGTATTGTCCCTGATTTAATGGATCCTGGGGTGGTGGATAGGCTGGAGGAACCGACCTGGAGTAGCTGACACCTGCATTGATGGTGGGGAAGGGAAAAAGAAAGAGGTCAGTCAGAGTTCAGTTGGGTCAAAAAACGTACTCATGATATTACTTGCTATAGCTTTAAAAACCAAGGCCCCAAACAATGGGGACATGAGCAGCAGAAGGCAATTCTAGGGATGAAATTAGCAACTAACTTAAACCCTCACTCCAAATGTAACCTAAACTAGCAAGGTAGTTGGAGATTTGAGAAAGATCAATTACTTTTGTTTTGGTGGAGTTTTGCTTTTCTCTTATGGAAAAGTCCTATATAATTTAAGCCAAGAGAGCCCTATAGAACCATTAGCTACGGTTATCTAGAAATCACTCTATTATTGAAAAGGCGAAGTCTTGTCTATAGAATTGTTACATTGTAAAGAACTCTACCTCTTCTATAGAATTCCATTTGTTGGTTTCAAAAGACAGAAGGCATTGCTTCCTCTACTAAGTCCTGTAGGACTTTTCCCTAATGGCTTGTTTTAAATTCACCAGCCTGGTTTCAGCTTCTAAACCAGAAAGTACTGGGAATCTCACAAGAGTCACTGACTGCTAACTCCCCAGCCCTATCTCCAAGGCGAGGTATTCCAAAGAAAGGATGGTCTTGTGGCTGAGGTATAATACAGTGAGTCTGAAGTCCTGGTCTCTATTACTGGCTCTGTCACATAATTTCTATGTGACCTTGAGCAAATTACAATCTCTCTGGGCCAGATAGGGCCTCCTCTGATGCAGAAGGGGTGAGGGGTCCACTGTCTTTAAGACACAGAACCCTGCAGAGGATGCTCTCTGGAACTGGGATCCACATGGGTGGGTGTGGGGGAGGTAGAGGATGGGTAGCCCTGTACTGATGATGGTGGGGCTGAGGGGACAACCATCACTATGCCTGTGGAGATTACCAGGGAAAGATAATATGGACACTGGTTATACTTCCTTCTTGCTGAGACCGTCCATGAAGGGTAATTCCCTTCTTAAGCAAGGTGCCTGGGCAGTGTGATAAAGTGGAAGCTACACTGCCAGGAAGCAGGGGAGAGCAGAGGGAACATCAGAGCTTTGAAGCAAATGCAGAAAGTTCTGGCCTTCTGTGGATCCCCTGCAGAAGGGGAGTTGCCTGCAGAACCTGCTACTCATTCTGTGGGTAGGGCAGCCCCCCGATAAAAGAATGTGGGGGGAACATTATGGAGATCTCCTGCTCCCCTGGGTTATACTGCAGGAGCGGTGGGCCAACCTATTGTGATCAGTTTCCCCGTCTGAAAAATGAGGACAATACCCACCTTCCTCATATGAGGGTTATGAAGCTAAATTAATTAATGTTTGTAAAACGCTTTGAGATCCGCAGGTGGGAGGTGCTAGAGAAGGCAAAATATTACAATTAGCACCTAGATACCACAGTGATTGGCATAAGAGAGATTAGATTCTCTGCATGTTGTCAGCAATCCCTATCAGCACACAAACACACACTTTCATGTGCCAGTGCTTTGGGATCCGGAGATGGGAGGTGCGATATATGTTCAAAGCAATTACAGGCAAAGAATTAAACTCTCACAAAATGCACTGCATTATTATGTGAAGCTAAGCTGCCAACCATTTAATCTTGGTGCATCATTATATAGGTCCTTCCATTATAACAAGCTAAGAGTTTAATACGTCTGGAGAGGGAAAAGAAGTAATTTACTCCCCTTTGTTATTGTAAATACCAATCAAGGCTGGTTAAAAACCAACAAGATTTCAGACTGAATGGAAACATTTCCTGGATTTCTTCTAATTGTGCTTCGAGACGAGGAATATGGAAATGGGACTGATTTCTCCAAAGAAATTAAACGACCATTTGTTTTATTTGATAACAAATACTACTACTCATATTGCTTTCTATCCAATCCAGGAAGTACAGTCATCCTTTTTCATTTTTAGCATGGACAAAAGTTGCTGCATGATTCATGACTTAGTAACCCTAACCAACCTCATCACAGTTATGTGTTCCAAGTCAAGCTGAAAACAACAATCTGTTTGGTTCCTACACCTCTTTGGTAGGCTCTTGGATGCTTGATCAGATTTGCTAATCTCATGTGTTTACAAGTTTATTTTTCCTACCTCAAAATATGTGAATCGTGAGTAGGATGCTTGCACAGTAGAATGCCAGTTCCACTGAGTGCTTGATGCCCCATCATTACAGAGAGGGGGCCAGGGCCAAATCTTAAATGGTTTGGCTCTAGGATATCATAAGAGACAGCAGGATACCTCCATCCTCCAATTAGACTGCTCAGGCATCTACACTCCAGCTCAGCATCTGAAGATGCCTGTGGCATGGGGAAATCCCCACCTGGTATCGAACCGGCATAGCCAGCTCTATAATAATCCCTGGTGGCTCACTCCATGTAGTGGCAGAAGATGAAGTGTGACAGGGAAAGAAGGAATGTGGCCAAATCATGCTGTGTTCCAGCGATCCATGACTATGACAGTTTACCTAAATTAGAGAAGTCCTGAGGCTGAGCTAATCTGCATAGAAGGAGGGGGCAAATTGGCTCCAGCTCCCCTGGGCACCAGGTGAAAGCAAAGAGGGGCTAAACTGTCAAAACTGTATGTCTAACTTGTGCAAGCAATTACTACAGCTACAGACATGAGGCATGTGCTATTTTGCCCTTGCATTTGTGTGCATGCAAATATGAGTATTTGTACTCTGCAGAGTAAATTCAGCAATCCCACGAGAGTAGCTTTTCTCGTGAGGTTTTCAACATGTCACCTCCAATAGCAGATAAAAACGCCACAAGAATGGCCTTTCTTCGGGCATCGGTGTATTTTTGGGCACGGTGAAACACTGGATGTTGGGAGAAAAATCCCACTTACCAGAACATCTTCAGAACCTCAGAACAAGACTAGTTCTCAGAATGAATGAAGGGTTAATATATTTGTATCTGAACTGAGCTGGTTTCCTCCCTCATCAGAGCTTCAAGTAGCTGTGCTAAATCGTCTCTTTAAGGATTTTTTTTATATGCAAAGCCATAACTCCATTGCAATTTAACCGGAAAAAATGAGCAAAGCCCCTTTCCAATGAAGAATGCTGCAATCTCAGGCTGCCTCTGTGGACAGAATTCAAAATGCAAAGGGGAAGAATGGATAGATAAGGAAAGATTTCCAGGCATAGCAGTCACGCTGCTTGTCCCTAGGCACAGGGAAACAGTTACACAAGTCTTGATCTTGGAGCTCCTTCTGCTGGTTCATGCAGAACTCTGCACCAAGGTAGAATCCAAGGGTTGCAGCTGCATAGTCAGATTGTCCAGTAGGGCTGGGGTTGAGGGAATGCTGTTCAGCGTGGAAAAAAAGTAGCTTTGCGGTTTATCATTTGTCAGGCCAAATGCAGCGAAGAGAGATGATGTATTGTCAGTTGAAATTGAGCAGTATTTTAGTGCTAGGCAATGTCAGTTTGAATCCCTTAGGTTTCTCATCTTAAAAAAAAAACCCCTCAACACCAAAAACCCTGAAAGGATTTCAAGCCATCTCTACTTTGCTCCTAACTTCTTTTCAAAATGCCTTTTGTACTTGTGCTCGCAGAAGGAATTCCCTGGCACTGAAACAATTAAAAGGGTAAGGCCAAATATAAGATGTCTTTCTATGCTTATTCGATCCTGAGCCTTTAAGGATTTCTTTCATGCCTTGATTGGTAGCTATTTCACGTCCCTTTCCTCTACACAGGCATCTAAACAACTTGCCTATCTATTAGCTGGATTTAAGAGATGGGTGATAAAATATAAATGTTTTCTAGTTCAGCTTGGGCTGAAGTTGGTGCTGTATTGCTGGTGAATGGAGAGCGTCTATGGTGCAAACCCTCAATTCTCCTGAGTCTCAACAGCAGTGAGAGAATTCATACCTCTTAGGAGGCACACTCAACCTCATCACAAATACAGTTGCCTTATGTCTGATGTATTTCTGTGGGGTACCACGCAGCACGCCCCTTCAACAGGAAACAGTGCCAAAGTATTCATCATTTGATGAGGAAATACTCCTTGCACTGTCCGTTTTATTGAACTATAGAGTTCACTCACTGAAATACAGCCACTTCGGGGGTGACACTTATTAACAGCACACAGCAAATCTACATGACAATTTAGAACTACATAGGAAGAAAAAAAGTATCTAACTGAAACTACAGGGAGAATTTAGGTGGTCAGAATCACTCAACTGGAAGTCTGGGCATGACATTGTGGGTAACACCTCTACTCTTCAAACCGTCCTTTGCAGTCTTTAATGAAAGCAAGAGGTCAGTTTCACATCTCACCCAACAGATGGCACTCTCAGCACCCTGCTGGAGTATTTGTTCAGAACTGACTCAGAAGCAAGAGTGCCCCCTATTTAGTCACCAATGTCATTTCCTTTTGCACTTGACTTAGGTATTCCTTGGAGGTCTCCTATCCAAATATTCATTCAGTCGGTCCTTGCTTAGCTTTGGAAATCCTAACTGTATCTCAGATCAGATTCTAACTGGATTAGTAATTCCTCCAGTGAAGAACCAATTTCATCTGTGTTATGAAAATCATAATCACCATCGATACTTTCAGATTGAAAACACTGAAAAATGCTGTGGCTAGTTCCACGGGGTAACTGTATAATGGGGACTCATGGGCTTTGGAAGGTTCAGTTTGCGGCCCATGTAATTTATGAGCAATGGGATTTGCACCATGTCTTTTACGTATTTGCAGGGAAGAAGTATGATAACATGATTTCCAGACAGTAATGACATTCTTTCATCTGCAGTGTGGAAAGCTTTGTGAACAAAGGGAAATGACCTTGATTATATCTGAAAATACAAGTGTGCCTCCCCTCCCTTTTTAAAAAGAGTTTAACGAATGGGACGGTTAACCCTTAAGATGCCATCTGATTTCCAGGTAGAAGACACTTGGAAACTGGGAATGTTTGACAACTGAGCTGCAGAGGTTTGAGATGTCGGAAGAAATTAGGACGGTATGACCCTTGGGAGGAATCTGGGTCAGTATTTTTGTGAGTT